GATAAACCTTAGTCACGATAAACATTTAGTATGTCTTCTCAATCGTTGTGACAGTTAAAACCGAGAACATAGGGAAAGCATAACTAGTTTAGATAGGCAACAACGTCACTGGCAAGACAACAGAAGTCCCTATAACTAATTGGAATTAGTTGCTCGGCAGCACAGAATCCATTTTGACTTAATAGTCTTGGTCTTTACGCGCCTAACTTTCGCGATAACTTCTCACCCACGAGAGAATGACAAAGTTAAAGAGAGAGAGAGAGAGAGAGAGAATAACACAAATAAAAATGAGAATAATTTTTGAAAACGTTCCTTGAATTATAATTAGTTAGATCGTGTTTATTAGATTTTATTTTCTCGTTTATTCATATACATAGTGACCAAACTTATATTATTTATTATTGCAGGTCAATTAGATGAAAAATGTTCATATAAACTTACATCCACCCTGTATACATAGTGGTTAAATTAGTTCCGAAAATAACTTTTTCTAACTTTTATACATTGATTCTGACCAAAAATTCTATGAATACTAAAGTAATGTTATAACTGTTCTATCCATTGAAGTTATTGGTTACGATTCTAGGATTTCAAGATTGATGTTGTTTTGTCAGTGTCATACTGGTTTTATTAATTATTATTTTTCTGTTCTGTATCGATTACCATTAGGCTTAGGATATACACCGGTTCTCCTCTGATATTAATATTAAAATAATAATCAAATAAATGAATAAAAAATTAGGAAAATCAAACTATAACCGATACAAAATTGAAAAATAGTTACAAAACTAATATGGAAACCATAAAATATCGATGAAATACTAAGAAACCGATATAAACGTGAATCATTATTTCCAGGAAAGTTATAACCAACTTTTAATTGTTTCAAAATCCGAAACCAATATTATATTATAACTTTTTTTTTTTTGTTAACTCCTACTTATACGTATATTAATAAAACGCGTACACTTAATTACTGGAAATTTTTTCTCTTAAGTAATAAATGATACTTCCAACTTTTTTTATTATATTTCCTTTTCTTTTTCTCTCTTAAGGATCGTAATACTCTTTCATTTCTTATAAACACTTTAAATCTTTCATAAAGTTAAGAGCATTAAATCGGATTAGTAAAAGATCAGTAGGAACGTGGACGAGTTTCGAAATTATGAACAACCGTTTGGCTTACTGCTTCCTTATTCACATAATCTTGCAGAAATAGTTCTGAAAGAATTTCCTTTACATAATTCATTAAAATATTATTTAAAATGAAGAAAGAGAGAAACTCTCTTAGTAAAGATTTACAAAAGTACATTTAAACGTAGCAATGCTAATTCGCGAGAAAATATTTGGGATGTTCTTGAAATAAAATGAAAAACAAAAAAAAAATAAAAAATAGTTGCTGATTTGTTCATGGAAGAAAGAAAAAGAATAAAAGAAAGAGAGCGAGTTTATTTGCCACGGCTTTATGTAAACGTAACCAAACATTTCCATACGTATATTTTCAAAGAGGTATTAAAAGAAAATTTTGTAAAAAGACGTTTGCAATATTTGTCGAGTAAATAGAACGAAATTAGATAAAGGAAATTACAAATCGTGCATTGATTTTTACCTACGAGAAAAATACTTTTAAATTTTCTTTTTCTTTTTTATTTTCTTTTTATTTTCATTTTTCTATGATTTTATTATCTATTATAAATCGTGAATACCAATTACCCGGAATATGTACAAATTTCGAACAATATTTTGTTAGACGTGTAAAAATATAAATGAAATGATTTGTACAATAAAATATAAATAAATGAAATATCAAATAACCAAAGCTTTTAAATGGATCTTCGGCAAAGCCAATTTTGATCCTACTAATCGTAAAGCGTACACTACATCTACTGACGAAATTACATTCTAATTAGGTGGAAAACTATATTACGCGCTCGGCTACCTAACGTACGCTTTATAACTATGTATGCATCACGCGTTATTACCGATTTGTAGGTGTGTGAGTATGGACATGCGTGCATAATTCAAACGCATTCGTAGCATTAATATAAATCTCCTATTAATAACCGCATCTATTAGTTTCACAATAGATTAGAATATATAATAGGATGACACATGATTTTCATTAAAATGATATGATATCTGATGAGTAATAATTAAAAAAACCTTAAGATAAAAATCATTAAAAACGAATTTTTTTTCTCGTATTTTTTAAAAATAATAAAAATAACGAAGCTCTTTTTAATGAACATTATTTTCTTATAATAGCGCTAAATATGTAATTTTTTTTTCTCTCTTCATATTGCTATAATACGGAGTCAATGTTATACTGTAAATATAAAAAATAATAATTAATACAAAATATTCGTTTCATATTCTTTTACATCATAAAAATACAAAGTAAAAAATATATTTATTAGATACTATTACTATAAAATATAGATAAGAATAACTAATATGTATAAATAGAATCATAGTTTTTTATATTACTTTGCTATATCATTCATTCGTTTTAGATTTTAATGATATAAAAAAAACATCGTCATATTCCACTTTGGAAATATTGAAATTCTCGTGATAAAACATAACGACATTAGAAGAATGATCAAACGAAATACGTATCCATATATCTAATCCTTTTATACTGCCATATTACGTTCTGATTTCGAATTCTGTTTTTAATCGTAAAACGTACTCGTTTCAATCAACGAATAAGAGTCAACTAGTTTCTAAAATAAAATTTTAGCGTAAAATTATCACGATTAAAAGTACTCGTCGAATATATTGTCTAGAAGCAATCTAAGTATATTTGTATGTGAGTTTCTAAGTCATATAAGATCATAAAGAGTTAACTGTACAAATTTTTTACGTTTTTACATTCAAATGTTCGTGTTACATTAAAAAAGAAAATAAAAATTATAAAAAATTACTCGTAAAATCTTAATTGCGAGAAAAATATCGTAATCCAAATATTAATATGAATTTCTTTTTTTTTATTTTAAATGTAACATTCTACACGGCAATTTAAAATCCAAGTGTGAGATTAGATCGATAAGAAGAAATATCAACTTTGAACACATTTTCTATTCCATCCTATCTTCGAAGGTCAATATTTGTCAGATAATATTCCGAAAGCTCAATCCTTTTTCTCCACTTCCAATAAATCTCTTATCCATTTTTTATCTTTTTTTCTCTTTTTGGCTTCACATCGTTTCGAGATATGTTCGGGGGGATAAAAAAGCTGAGAACTTTAGAATGTAACTTTTTCCTCGTGTTCGAAATGTAAGACGAAAAGTCATGACCAAAACTATTATTATTATTAACGAAGAGTATCGGATACTCATTAAGCAAATGCACTTTCATCTTTTTCGATAGATGCCTTGAAAAGTTTTCTTCTTTCTCTCTCCCCCTCCCTCTCTCTCTCCCTCTCGTATTCCCTTTATTTTTCTCGACATCGTTCTTCTTCTTCTTTACATCGTTCCGAGAATACATTTTTCAATCTTTTCGTGGCAACAGAACATACTTGAGAACGTCGGGTCATCCATTGAATGCAATGTTACGTGTTTCTTCCAAACTAAAACTAGAGTATTCTCATTTCGCGAAAAGTTTACATTCGGTAGAACAGAAAAACAACAACAAAGTATGCAAGCGGTTAGCGAAGGAAAGAAAAGTAAAGGGATGATACTTATAGATGGGTGAAAAGAAAAAAAAAATATAGAAAAGGCATCGTTCAAATTAGCGACCTGGGACAATTTTTTGATTGCTTTCTCCAACGAGGAAGACAGTTTGTTACTTTCTCATCGAATACTTTTGAACAAAGGGAAGAATGAGTAGGGGGAAAGTGGGGTTGGGTTAGTAGTAGTGGAAAAAAGAAAGAAGACGGGTTCAATGGCGGAAGGGTGGAGGGGGATGGTGGGTGGTGGTGTGGTGTGAGAAATACATTTCGTTGATGACCCGGTCTATCACTCGCAATACATTTTATGTGTGTCCTCATAATGTATTCATATCGGGTATGTATTCATATCATCATGTATTTTGACGGGTATTAATTACGCATGACCTAGATTGTTTATTTACTTAACCGATAATGACTAATATTACGTAATGGCACGGATGAACTTAATCGATCACGAGTGGTTCTCTCTCTCTCTCTCTCTCTCTCTCTCTTTCTCACTCTCTTTCTTTTTCTATCTGTCTGTCTCTCTCTCTCTCTGTTTCTCTCTGGTTCTTTCTCTTTAAATATTCCGCACATGTTTCATCCCCCAGGAGATAAATGCAGGAAGAGAAATAAATTTTTATCGTCAGAAGAGGAGAAATATTTTATTTTTGGTACGTTGTGTTTGAAGGAACTGCAGCTTTTGTAATTTTTTTTCGGAATTTAACGAATTTGCAATACTTCCGGGAACTTGTTGATTGTTTTCCATTTATTTCGTTCTATTTTGTTGAGAAAATTCTATTACGTTTCTATCTGCTCTTTTGTGTACCTCGAAAAATCATCGTTCGTATTCTTTATTTATCTTCCCGTGAGAAAAATAATTATTCATGGTACACATTTTTTCTTGTTCCTCTTGGAAAGAGTTTTAATATATAAAACTAATATTACACGAATTAATAATTATTAAGTTTAAGAAATCGTCGAACGCTTGTTACACATTATTGCTTATATTATTAAAAACGTATTTTGATTATTAATTTTCTAATAATAATTCTTAGAAAATATAAAAATTTACTTCATCATAAGAGTAATCAAATGTGTGTAATATAAAATATATATATTATAACAATGCATTTTTATTTATTAAACGAATATGTATCGCCATACGACACGTATCGTGATTTATGTTCAATTAATTCCGCAATTAACGAAATTCATTGTTATTCTTTACAGCATTTTAAGCTCATAATGTTCATTTCAACTAATAATTGTTTACCATTATTATTACCATTGAACGATAAATAAATGAATAATGATTTCGAACCAACGAAACGTCCCGTTTCCGTAGATCGTAAAACGTCGAATGACAATAATCATTCGTAACGAGAGGAGCGGCTAGTCTCGAAGATGGCGAATTTATCGGGACGCCTCATAAAAAAAAAGGGAAGAAATGGAAGGAAGAAATCGTGTTTCTTGCTAATAGCGGTACCCAATCACGTGCATAGTTCTATCCAGCTCGCGAGACATTTAATCGAAAAGGTAATCGCATTCCGGGTTTCTCGTAAACGGTTATCTCGATAGCATCGAGAACAGAGGAAGATTCATTTTCTCTCTCTTTCTCTCTCTCTCTCTCTCTTTCTCTTTCTCTTTCTCTATCTCTTTCTCTCTATTTCTTTCTTTATCTCTCTCTATCTTCCTCTCTCTCTCTCTCTCTTTATCTCTTTCTTTCTCTATGCTTTCCTCGTACTTTACTTTTCATTTTTTTTTTTCAATTGTAAATAATTTGATTTTGATCTTCTTCATGCGAGCCTCGATATAATCAATACACCAGATAAGAAAAAAGAAATTTTTTTCCACGTGACTGATTTATCTTCTTTATTATATTATAATAATTTTCAAAAATTACATTCGACCTTTTAAATACGCACGATCGATAATTTAAAATGGGATTAAATAATAATCGTTGAGTTTAATAAGTCAATAATAAATATTTGTATTATTTTATTTTGATTGTAATTAGGATCTTTTAATAGAACGAATTTTTCTATTATACAGTTAGATAATTGGGAATATAAAAATTATGATTCTGATCCATTTGTTTATATATACTTTTATAATATTCTTAGGATAATCTTGAATGTTCTAATTTTTCGATTTAATTTTGTCTACATTTGACAATTAATACTTATTATTAGAAAAATTGGTATAAATATAATAAATACATTTGTAGATCTATACGCAATATTAAATACAATATTAATCCTGATTAATTGCACAACCTTGCTTAAAAAATAAAAATCGATACTTTAAAAATTGTCGAATGAACCGAAGAAAAAAAAAATGGCCAATTATGAATATAACAATTATACATTATAAATATATTTGCTATATTATTTGATTAGAAATGTTACATATATTTTTTATTTTATTTATGATGATTTATTCGTAGGGGAAAAGAAATTCGCAAAAATCACTGCAATTAGCAAACTTTAAATCAATCTGTTTTCGAAAAAGTTAATATCTTATGTTCTCATATGTCACATATTTGTAATATGGAATTCTCATATCACTCAACTTGGATCATCGATAAATAAGAAAATTCATAACCGGTAATATCTGTTATGAAAGAACATCGTATTGTCTTAATATCCCTTTCGCGATAAGATTACTCATTAAAAAGATCGGTCGTTTGTAATAAGGGTGACCATAAAAACAAAGGTAACCTTCCTTAAGAATAAAAATTGAACTAGAAATCATGAAAAACTAAAGGAGTGAAAACAGTTTCGAAAATAACTGGTTCAAAGTGTTATACGAGCCACTCGTTAGGAAAATCGATTAACTCCTTAATAAGAAAAGAAAGTCTAGAAAACTTTATTAAATTAAAAACCATTATATTGTATAATTTATTATTTATTATCAATAAACACTTTTATCATTTAATATTGTTTCAAATGTATTCAAAATGGAGATAATTGTTTTTGCCTGTGTTTGGCACATGCATGCATATTGATTTTCACTGAAACAATAAAAAGTACTGAAAAAAAAAAAAAATGTTACAAATGTTGTAGACGTAACAATTCTAATTCGTATCAGTTTTCGGTTTGATTTCTTCGAAACCGATGTTGTATAAATTCCATATTGGTTTTATAACTGTTACGGTTTTTTTTTTTTAAACGAAACAAATACAATAGCGTAAAGTTATAGAACTAGTATGCCACCAATGTTCTAAATATTGAAACCAAATTCAATATGGAGAAAGACTGTAGAGCATACGCATCTATTCTCTATCAAATCAAACAATAACTGTTTTGCAACAATTATTTTTCAGTTCTGTATTGAACTTAACCGCAAAACCGATATAAAACCGAAAAAACAATAGTTATAAAATTAATATTGAACCGATGTAATATCAATATTTAAGAAATCACAACCAAAATCGATGTAGAAAAAAAACTATAATATGTATATAGCAATTAAATAGGATAAGTATAGATATTACTGCAGTTGAAAATCTACGAATGTTTTAAAAAAAGCCATATTTTGAATAGTTAATTAAAAATTTCAACTCTATTTTTTTAACAACATTATTTTAATAAAAATAAAAAATAAGGTCTTAAAACTAATATAAAAGTACATTTCAATAAAATAAAATTCAATCAAAATAAATAACACCGTATGCGTTTATTATTGCAAATTTTTAAATATTTCCTATGGAAAAATAAAGTAAATGAATAGTATAGATCAGGGCTTCTTAAACCATGGGTCGCGACCCCAAACGGGGTCGCGTAGCAAAWTTCTGGGGTCGCGAGAGATTTTAATGTCAAATATTTATATATACCATTTTATAACATCACTAGAGTTGGCGGAATACAGTGGACTTGCAGCGTCTAGACACGTGCATTTGTTGAAGGTTTTGAGCTATCTCCACCGACAGCAGTAATATTTGTATGGGGTCGTCAAGAAACTCGCAATCATAAATGGGGTCGTCAAGAAACTCGCAATCATAAATGGGGTCGTCAAGAAACTCGCAATCATAAATGGGGTCGTGAATGACAAAAGTTTAAGAAACCCTGGTATAGATTGATAATTATTAAAAAGTTCTTTACTATCTCAGGTATCGATTAATTATCCAAATTTTATTCTATCAGCAAATAATTATATTTAATGAAGTGTTATTCAATATTAAATTTAAATCTCGCAGTAATATCAAATAATACTTATTCTATATAACATTTACAACATTTTATATATTTCTCAATAATATTTCAAAAATCGAACCCGATATCATAACTGTTTTCAACTCCTGAGAAAGAGTAATAGAAAAAGATAGAGATTGAGAGAAAGATAGAAATAGGAAGAAAGAGAGAAAGAAAGAGAGAGAGAGAGAGAGAGAAAGAAAAAGAGAGGGAAAGAGATACGTAGTAAAAAAAAAAAAATATAAAACCAATCGGTCCGCAGGGATGTTTGGAGAATCGTGGCTCCCCTGGGAGGGCCGGCGGAGGAGCAGGAGGAGAAGGAGGAGGAGGAGGAGGAAGCTCACGGGGTACCGGGTGTGATTCAGGAGAGTCGCAGTCGCAGCCATCGCGTGGTAGTGGTGGACGTCATGGGGGTTCAGAAGGTTCTTCCTCAAAGGATGGTGATTTACTTTCGCATGCGGCTTCCGCTTTACGTAGGCTCCACTTCAAATCCGCCGGTGGAAGTCGTAGCTGTCGTACGGTACCAAAGGTCGTGGTCATGGGTTCCAGTACAGCCTCTGAAACCACGATCAACACTAGTACTGATAGCGCCAACACTATGGTCACTATGGTGAGACAATGTTTTATTTTTTTTTGTATTTCCGATTTTTTATTCTTAATTTAATCATTAAGAGATATAATAATTTAATCGGAAATAATGATTCGTTTTAAATTATTATAATAATTGTTATTATTATTATTATTTCGTTTTTTTTCATCTCAATATATTCTATTTAATTTATTAATTATTTTATTTGTATTATTATATTATTACAATATTATTCGAGAATGATTAATAGTAATATTCATTATTTATTTAGAATAATGTTGAGATTTTATTTGAAATTAATTAGAATAAACTTATTATTGAGCTCTCAAGGAATCGCAAAAATGTCCATTAAACATAACAGGACAATAACTCTAAACGTTTTATACCTACTTTTCTGTGTTTTATTGAATTCCGTATTTCATACTTTATGAAGTCTCTCGTTCTGAGAGTTTAAATTAACTACAGAAGAAGATTCACTTCTCAATATTGAAAATATATATATATATATCACATATATAATATAATTATAATATATATAATAATTATTAGTTATATAAAATTTATATTCATGGTTATAAACTCATTGGAAATGAGTTTCTAATTTATTGGAACTTGTATAATACGATTAGAGTTTTATTAGAAAATCATAAATGGTCAAATTTAGCAAAAACATAATAATCCCTTTGGAAGGTACAACCAGTTAAATTACAATTGGATCAATCAAGAACTTTCCGGTAATTGTACTTATTTTGAAAATTTTCTATTCCACGAAAGGAAAATCTTGATAAATTTATTTTCATTTAATCGAGACGAATTTAATTCCTATTTTCCATTTTGAATTTCCATTCCAATCTTATTCTCTAAAACATTATTCGTAATTTATGTGTCACACGAAGAATTATTTGAAAAGAAATCGTTGCAATAATGAAATTATCTTTTTATTCAATTTTTTAATACATTTGCAGAGAATTAAACGCGAACCAGTTAAGAGTAAAAACACGATAATATTCTTTTGTAAAATGATTTATTAATAGAAATAATAGTTGTAGATTTAATACGTGCACTCAAAGATCTTATCTTCGAATTTCTAAAGGACAAATTTGAACGAAAATGTCGTAAAGGAGTTTCTACGTGTGTTTCAAGTAATATTCAATGTTATGTAAAAGTTTATTATTATGATCATTTAACTATTTGATCGATCTTCCTAAGAAACTTATTCCAAATGGTTGAAATTAATTTCTATGTTACATAGGAAATGATTTTCTAAGTTGACTGTGTTTAACCCACTAACTTAGTTTCCATATTTCGAAAAGGGAGAAGATGGTTGAAGAGGAGATGAAGAAGAAGTGAACTAATGTGGTGTAGAAATGTGGTCTACGATTAAAGGGAAAAGTTACTGTAAGGTCATCAAATATACGCAATTTTTATCAACTTTTTTCATTTTTTGTGTTGCAACGAATCAATACGTTAGTAAAAAATAATCTTGTATATCATAATACATTAGATTTACTTATGTATTTTTTTCACATTCATCATTAATTTCACATTCATCATTAATTTCACTAATATATTGTTTTCATACTATTTTTACTTTATTTATTTTAATAATAATAATAATGTGATAATATTCGAAACACAAGCATAAATTGCAGTTAACTAAATTATTATGGTTTCGGTAATTGCAAAGTTTAAATTACAAAAATAATACTAAGATCATTTTACCTTTAAGAATCCTGTAGAAAATTTTTATTCAATCAAATTAAACTTCACTAACATTGAGATATATTTATAATTAGAAAAAATATACTTTCAAGAAACTTTTAGGTACTACAGGACACAGAAACACTGTAAAAACTCTAAAAAATACTTCGAATAATATGGATACACATGGTAATTCAAAGACATATATATTCTAAAACACGAAAGAGAAAATGTATTTAATTTTCAAAAACCCTTAAATATTACTTTCTTTCTCAAACATTTACTTCCCTCGTCTTATTTCCCCTTCCCCTTAACCTTACGTTACACAATTCTCGTGATGAAAAAGTAAACAAAAAAAAGTTCTTCCCGAGGAGATACGAGTATTGCACGTAATATAGAATTTTCTTTTTTTTTTTGTTTTTTATTATTATTTCCCCGTACGGTCAAGCAACATTTCATTCTCGTATGAGATAAGAGAATGAAAAAAAAAAAAAAAGGCAGGAATATAAGAGAGTTACGATCATAATGAAAGGAGAGGTACCTACCTACTGCGTTAGTTGAAAGTACATAAGTGACTCGAGAGAACGTTAAAAACGTAACGAAGGTGACATTCATTGTTTGTAAAATAACGACTGTTCTTGGTGCTCTTGCTAGAGCTTAAATGTACCAGCTTAAAGTTGTATGAATCAAAGCGTTGAAAGATTAAAGGGAGCCTTCTATGAAATTCAGTTTAAATAAAACGAATGTTGCGTGCGCGAACTGTTTTAATATTCCATGGTTACATCAAAGAGTTGTGTTACGCCTGGGTTGAGAGGTAAAAAAAGAAAGGGTGCTGTGCGGGTCGGGTGGGGGGGTTGGAAGGGTGTGGAACGGAACAGATGGGATGAAAAGAGAGAGAGAGATAGAGAGAGGGTAAATTACCTCGTATTATTACGAGCAAGAAATTAATAAATTTCCAAAAGTAGCTGTTACCTCTACCATCATCTCGTCTGTTCATTGGTACGCGCGATAGCCCACGAGCTTTGCTGACGAGAATGAAACTTTCTTCTTCACCTATATGTCGAGAAAGCGCGATCAAGTCTCTCGATTTGATTTAATTAAACTTCGAGGGTAGTAAATTTCTACGTCCTTACTTGAGGAAGAACGAAGAAGAACCCATCAATCCTTAAAGATTTCGCTCGATGGTTATATGCGGAAATTATACGTGAGGAGGAGGAGGAGGTGGTACACGATTGATTGACCATTTTGAAATATGGATAATAATAATTGGAGATATAAATATTCGAAGAATTTTTTCTTCTATACAATTTGTATCATTCTGGTTGAATTAATTTAACCAGACTTTAATATTATATGAGATTTATAAAATATAGATACAATATATACTGTGAATAATATTAAATATTTAGAGAAATATTATGTTTTATATTA